AGGTTTCAGGAGGTACCGGCAGAGAAATGTTACAAGGAAACATATACATCAATTGTTTCTTACCAGTAGAGTCTAGTCTGTTAATACCATAAACCGCCTGGCTGTGAAACATCCAGAAGTGTCCATTGTTGCAGGAAAGAAGGCAGGAACTACAGGGAACAATCACATGATAGCCTACAATGTTCCCACTTAAAAAAAAAAAAGTAACTGTTAGTAGATAACACCTGTAATAGGTAACAGCTGGACACATAAGCATCTGTCTGCTACTTACTGTAAACAGACCACGAAGTTTCAGCTTCCTCTGAGTGGTTTGTTGCTGGCTTTGAGAAGGGAGCTTATTCTGACAGTACTCACAGGCCTATACAGTCTGTAAGTGAGACAATACTAATGTATTTGCACATTTATTATTTTATTCATACTCTCTTTGGAAGTTAGCTTTAGGATGTGATTTGTTATGGAAAGTACCAAAACTGATGTGCTATACAGAGAAAATATATTACACAAACTCAGGTGTATGGGTAAAGGATTTCACTATCTTAGGGACTAGGATAAGGTTTTTATAGGTTCAGGCTCTTAAAAATTGTTTCAACAAAGTGGGAGGTAGGTGAGGGGTAAGGGCATGGGCCCTTTAAATGAAACGTAAGCTGGCAACTCCCATTTAGTTGCAGTGATTTTGGAGGAATTCAGAAATGAAGCAAATCTCCAGCCCCCACAGAGTTGAAAACAGTTTGATTGTCTTCAGCAAATCACCAAGTTTCTTATTTTCACATTTTTTTCTGAGTCTCATGCTAACTATAGTAAACACACAGGGAATGTTTTGTTCCTTTTTTTTTTATGAGTTGTTAATACCTTGATGGTAAAAATTCTTTTTATTTTCTTTTTTTGTTTGTTTGTTTTTGAGACAGGTTTCTCTGTGTAGTCCTGGCTGTACTGGAACTCACTCTGTAGATCAGGCTTGCCTCAAACTCACAGAGACAGACAAAATGGGATAGAGGTAAAAGCCACGAGCCTTGGGGCAGCACAGGGATGAATAGAAATGGGTTAAGTTGTAAGAGCTAGTTAGTAACAAGCCTAAGCTATTGGCTGAATATCTATAATTTACATTAAGTCTCCGAGTCAGTTATTTGGGAAGCAGCTTCTGGTTGTTTGGGAACAGGAGGGTGGGATAGGGAAACTTCTGCCTACAATATAGTGAATTCAAGACCAGCCTGAGTTACAGAGTAAGATCCTGTCTCAAAATATATATATATATTTTTTTCATTCAGAAACTAAGTTTGAGCTTTAGAGGTTTAAGGTATTATCAAGATCATGCAGAGAACCAGGACAGGGCAGGGTTCAGATCTGATACCGGGCACAGTGGTATGATTATGTGCATGGATGTAAAAACCAGAAGTCAACTTGGGGTGTAGTTCTTCAGGAGCCTTCTGCCTTTTCTGAGAAAATCTGAGGTTTGTCAGTTAGGCTAGGCAGGCTGGAGAGGGAACACCGAAGATCCTCCTGTCTCCAGCTGGGAGCTGCAGTGTATCCTGCCAGTCCACAGCGGGGACTGCAAGTGTATGCTACCACATCCAGCTCAAGTTCAGAGCCTTATATTTCTGCTGCAAGCTCTTCACCAGTTGCACCATCTCCTCTGCTCCCTAATTTTTATGAGTGTAAATCCCATTGTTACCTCTTAGATTACACAGGATTACTGGGGAGCAGATATTTGTGAATGCACTTTGGAAAACTACAAATAGTATTTCAACACTATCACAAATACTCTTTTAAAACAATAATTCTAGGACTGGCAAGTTGGCTCACTGGGTAAAAGCACTTGCTTCTAAGCCTGAGGACCTGAGTTTAATTCCTGGGCTTCCTATGGTAAGAGAGAACCAGTTGTCCTCTGACTTCCACATATGTGCCATGGCACAAACAGGCTATATACCCATATCCATGCATATAAATAAATAAATAAATATATAAATAAATAAATTAAAAATAGTTCTAAGAAACAAACATTCTTTCAATGGCTCATTGTCTGAGTTATATCAATGCTAGATACATCCCTCAGAATCTTCTGTGGGTTTTGGTGTCAATATCTACCTTCCAAACTCTGGCTATCTACAACAGTGGCACAGATTACCATTTTAAACATGCGATGTCCTTCAGTTTACATTTGCAGATTCCAGTGAAATAGCATCTTCCAATGAAATCCACAGTGCTGGAGGATAAAAAAAGTTTACAGGCAGTCAAATATACTAAAGAATTGAATTCTGAAACAAAAGATAAAAACTTGCTGTATATTCATTCCCACTAAAAAATGTGTGTGTGTGTGTGGTCAAGAGCCACTAGGGATGGAACTTAGAATCTTAAAAATGCTAGGCAAGCATAATACCATTGCTCTACCATTGAGCTATATTTCCAGAATTCTATCTTATTCACAAAACTAGAAACTAGACTATAAAATATAATTATAGGGAATTTTTGTAAGAATTGGGTAATAATTTGTGCTCACTATAAACATTTGGCAGATTTTCTACTAAAAAACAATCTGTGAGAGCCAGAGAGATGGCTCAGTGTTTAAGAGAATGTACTGCTCTTGCAGAGGACTGGAGTTTAGTTTCCAGCACCCACATTATGCAACTCACAACTGCCCTCTCGGGACACCTCTAGCCTCCGAGGGCATCTGTGCACATATCCACCACCCTTCAAACACACACAATGAAAAAAGTAATAAGATAAATCTTAAAGACCAATGCACTCACTGGTTCACACATCCTTAGCGTATGAATACAATGTGATTATAACTCCAACAAAGAAACGTAAGGAATGCAAAAGGCATGATTCTATGCTAGACTCTAATATGTAACAACTCAGCCAAGACTTCCTTATGATCACAATTCTTATAAAGATGGAAGAATATTTCATATTTGTGTGTGGGCATATCTAACTAAAATAACACATGGATCCTAGGACCTTTGGGACATTAGGTTGGTTCTACGATTTTATCATCTAGTGCTTTTTTTTTTTGGCACCACACAAGTGCACATACACAAATATTACCCAGTTATTTCTGCAACAAATGACTACATGTAAGCCAATTCACAAAAGATTTCAATGGGTGAATAGGCTATATATATAGCTTTCCTTGTCTGTAGTTTAAAAAGTTCAAACTTACTATCATTATTAATTACTTTGAATGAATTTCACTTTGAATGAATTATTACCCGCTTCTTTCCAAGTGACTGTTGAAGACTTGCTTCAGTGAGAAAGGGTGTTTGGATAAGGCACTGAGCTTCAAGAGCCAACTTAAGGGATGTACGGTCACGTGACTGTAAGTGCCTAGAAGCATGACCTCAGTACTGACCACTTTGGGTAAACCACAGACTTCGTCCAGACAGTCTGACCACTTAGATAAACTCCAAGGGAATCATCAGACTGTTGGGAGTGGCTGGAACACCAAATGATAACCTTGATTCCCAGGGATCCATGCCACCTACTGCCCGGTTAGTTAAAGGGCTACCCACTGGACTTACTCGGTAGGAGGGATGTCTGTAGAGTAAAGGTCTATGTCAGTATCGGCCAGCAAAACAGCCTTCATTCCCCTACAGCTGAGAACTTGCTTACAGAATTTGCAACAAAGGATGGACACGCATCGGTCCTTGAAAGTACAGTTGTTGGCAGACATAGTGTCCCACGTAGAACGAGGTACAGAATTTGGAAAGGGGGGAAACAAGCAATACCGTTCGTGTTTTGATTCCCCCGGGCTAACGGCCAAGTCGGGAGGCCTTGAGTTCTCTAAGCTCTAAAATTAAGAAGAGTTCTGTTTTTCGGGTGGAAAGGTAAAATTAGTATTTATTGAGTGGGAAGAGCAAATTGTACTTCCTTTTGCCTTGAGGGGAGGATGGCGTTTGAGGTGGGGAGAGACAAACAGGGTTGAAGGAAAACTTTTAAGACTGCTTTCACTTTCTGTGGTCTCCAAAAGTCCTCGGCTCTTCACTTCCCGCCCCCGAATTCAGCGATTCCCAGTTCCCGGCGGGCTTCCCTTTAAAGCCTCGCCTCTCTGACCACTCCCAGCGCGAGCCCCGCCCGCAGAGCGCTCCAATTCCTTGCTCGGCTCCACGCGGCCTCTTCGCAGGGTTCAAGGGCCCTCAGCCCTCGGCACGCGCCCCCTTCTCCGAGCTCGGCCGCGGGCCTGCTCCTTGCACCACGGCTCTCGGCGTCCTCGCCCCCTCAGCTCGCGCACTTGCCACCCTTGGGGTCTCTCCCACTGCGGCCGCTCCGGAGTGAGCAGGAGTGTTGGATGAGGTGGGGGAAGAGGCCGCAGATGAGGCTCGGTCCGCGCTGGAGTCAATCACCGCTCACGCCGGGTTTTGCTCTTTCTTCCGCTTTCTCGGCTTTTTCTAACCCGCTGTCAGTTTGAATTGCCGGCGCCGAGCACGGATTGGGAGGACCAGAATTGGCCCCAGCCCCACATTGGAAGGCCAGGGGCCTTCTCCTGACGTGAGCTCAGAGGCCTCTCCCCAGTAACGGTGCCGAGGTCAGATCGGCTCTCTGATTGGTTCGGCTTGACTCCTCTAAGCTCATTGGCCAGCATCTGCTCGGGTACACCCTCCTTCCCCCTGTGAACTTGGAAGACACACCCCGAGTTTCTTATTGGTAGATACTCTACGGACCTCTACTGCTAATTGGCTAAACAGCCCTCCTCCTTTGCCCGGCCCGATTGGTCTCGTCGTCTCCTGCGAGTTTGTGTTTGGTTGTCGGTTCTATGTTACCCCGCCCATCAGTTATACTTTAGGGTTCCACAGGCCGGGGAGGAGCTCACTCTGGGACTGCGCCTGGGCAGCTAGGGCTTGCCACACCTCTAAGTTTCGTCGGCCCCGCCCCAACTCCAGGCTTCTAGGGATCCTTTATTCCTATTGGCCAGAGGCCCCATCGGTCGATAGAAAGCGGGTGCTGATTGGCAAGGGGGTGGGCTCTGCTTCCCGGCGGGGTCTTGCGGAGTTGGCGGAATCTCCTTTGGGAACTGGGGGGCCGAACTGCGTAGAAGAGGGTGGCGGGGAGGAGATCGCTAAGTGGGAAGCGGAACCTGGGGCCTGGGACCCGTCGCGGCAGAGCCAGGTAAAGGCTCCTTCCCCCTTTCCTCTCCGTTTGCCTGGCTGCTGCCCTGACTGTACAAACCCGGACTGGGCGGGTGGACGCGGTGCGGATGCTGCTGCTCTCGGCGCCGCCTTAGCGGTGCCGCCGCCCACGGTCCTCACACCGCCCTCCTCGGCCCGCGACCCTCCAAATCCCCCAGTGCAGCCCATAATACTTCCCAGGACTGCTCATCTCCCCGCCCATCCCTGCATTGCTGAGGACTGTCCTCACGCGGCGACACCGCCCTCCCGCAGCCCCTTTGCACACGGCTGGCCGGGTCCACCTCGGGGCCTCGCCGTAACGGTCTGCTGGCCTCGTCCCTGGTCTCCCAGCCTTGGCCCGCAGCCCAGGACCCGGAAAGATGGGGTGTTCCTCCCGGCTTGCGGGGCTCTTTCTCCGTCTAGCCCTGCAGTCTGTCTCCCGGGGCTCTCCACCCACTCCTATATCCAAACCTCATGCGGGTCCCCAAAGTTGCCAACATCCTGCACTTCATGTC